TTAATTGTTATTTTCCTGTATTAAATAAAAGCCATGCTTTCTTAATTTATTAAATGATAAAACTAATAGTCATCAAACATTACATTCTCTTTATAAGCAGATATTTTCTATATTTTGAAATCCTTACAGCATTGGGGTTTAGCTCTGAGGGTTTCTTCACATTCTCTCAAGATTTCATGACAACAAACAACCATGGAAGCAAGAATTTTCTTAACTGTATCAGTTTGTCTTCAGTTATTTTCTCTTCTTTAAATCTCTATTTCTTTTATTAGAATTAATTCTTATAGTTTGTTTTTCTAGTCCACTCTTGGTTTGTTTCAAGGCAATTTCTGAAGGTTTGTATAAGTTTTAGTTCCTTTAGATGTTCTTGCAAAATGGTAGTTTTTTTTTTATTTTTACTTATGGATATAAATGTATTTTGTAGGTAATTTATCTAGATAAGTATTAATTCCATTAACACTTCTATTGTAATTTACAAACAACTTACTTCAGGGTTTTTTGTATGGTTCTATTTCCTTTGTCCCATCTTCCTGATCTCGTACAAGGGTTTTCTGACTTATGAAAATACATTTTCTACTATTTTCTCCTCACCTCCCTCCCAATTAACTATTGTTCTTTTTACTTTTTCTTTATTTTCAACTCTCTTTTTCTCTTAATCTTTATTTCTTTGCTGTTTTTGTTTGTTTTTCTTTCAAAGAGATATATATATATATATATATATAAGTATAGGTCTGTAGATGGATGTGAGTGTGCTCAGTAGATGAGCTTGGAAGTATGTCTCTAGGGGTGTGACTGTAGGTATGTGTGTGTCTGCAAAGCATGTCTGTAGCTGTGTGCATGTAAGTGTGTCTGTGTAAATGCATGCATGTATGCATATATATATATATATATATATATATATATATATATATATATATAATTTAACAAGTTTAATTAAAATAAGTGAAGTAAATTTATTATTTACTACTCTTTTTGCTTTAAAATTTTTTCAAATAGAAATTTGTATAATATCTATCTGAATTTCTGGAATGAGGACTTATCATTACACTATTTACATGTAATCTATTGCCTTCATATTTGTTATTGTTAACACAATGTTTCAGTTGTTGTACCCTCTGGTCTTCATCAGGTGTATGTCTATCCAGGTAGCTTACAGGGAATTGCAAGCTTTTATTTAATCTACAGAAGTAGACATTTCTCATTCTACTGTCCATCTCTAGGGATATCTCATCTAGTTCTTATTTTTAATATTGCTCAGTTATCGCTCACCCTGTTTTCACAGAATCCAAGTACATACTACCTGGCCCATGGATTGAACTCATAATTACTGTATCACCAAATTTACAAAGCAATGCTTTAATCCACTAGGCTATTATTCCATGGAAATTCCTTGTAGGTTACCCAGGTTGATACACACCTGATAAAGGCTGGAGGACACAATGGCCAAAATGTGTTAACTACAACAAAGATGAGAATAATAATCTTCAAGTAAATTGGAATTTCCATAAAAAGAAGAATTTCATACTGAAGGTATGAATATAGTGGCAAAGATAGGTATCCTCTTATAACCATACCAATATCTACTAAGCTGTACAAAGTCTGGCATCCAAACACAAGCACATTTGAAAACACTACAATAATAATAGTCTACAAGTCTAGCTTAATACATACAACTGCCCTCCATTTCCAACATAGTAAAATGTCTGTTTCACTCGTGTTTGTCACTTTAGTGTATTATCAACTAATCTGTTTAATGTTACAACAGTTGACACAGTCCCATTTATCACAGCATCATCTTCATAATTGTTTTTATTCAGTTTACATATATAGAGCACTTAGTAAGGATCACAGTGTTTTACAATACTAGCTTACTTACCACAGTATGGAGAGGAAACACTTTTCTTTTTTTTTTAAATCTTAGCCTAGAAAAATATTGCAAATAATTATATCTAGTGAAAATAAAAATCAGTAGAAATAGCCTGTGAGATGAGTTTTCTTATCAGAACCCTGCAGTAGATGGCCATCTTATAGCCATGTTATTATTTGATGCACAGAAATTGCTTGAATTTTCTAAGCATGTTCTATATTCATTTTAGCATTGCCTTCATTTCAAGTTAGTCTCACTGAGTTTGATTTTCAAGTAAAATATTTTTTATATTGGGCAGAAAGGGAAATGTTTTTAGGATGTTATTGTTGACCTTAGTGTCTGTAAAAGAAAAGAGTAACATGGTTTTAAACATGTACCAAAAACCCATTTTTTGCATTTGACCTGAATATACTTGAAGAAAATGAGAAAAAAAACCTCACTCACTAATAAAATAAGAAAGCTGTCTTTGCAAGTCTTTCCTTAACTCTGACTTTTCTAGTATTTTCTTCTTGAAAGAATGTCACAGATGTTTTAAGGCCTCTTCTTTCAATATTTCACTTTTCTTTCTCTTTTTCCTACTTTCTCTCTCTCCTTTTAACTTCTCTCTCTTGCTCTCTCTCTCTTTTTAACTTCTCTCTCTTGCTCTCTCTCTCTTTTTAACTTCTCTCTCTTGCTCTCTCTCTCTTTTTAACTTCTCTCTTGCTCTCTCTCTCCTTTTAACTTCTCTCTTTGCTCTCTCTCTCCTTTTAACTTCTCTCTTGCTCTCTCTCTCCTTTTTGCTCTCTCTCTCTTGCTCTCTCTCTCCTTTTAACTTCTCTCTTGCTCTCTCTCTCCTTTTAACGTCTCTCTTGCTCTCTCTCTCCTTTTAACGTCTCTCTTGCTCTCTCTCTCCTTTTAACGTCTCTCTTGCTCTCTCTCTCCTTTTAACGTCTCTCTTGCTCTCTCTCTCCTTTTTTAACGTCTCTCTTGCTCTCTCTCTCCTTTTAACGTCTCTCTTGCTCTCTCTCTCTCCTTTTAACGTCTCTCTTGCTCTCTCTCTCCTTTTTAACGTCTCTCTTGCTCTCTCTCTCCTTTTAACGTCTCTCTTGCTCTCTCTCTCCTTTTTAACGTCTCTCTTGCTCTCTCTCTCTCCTTTTAACGTCTCTCTTGCTCTCTCTCTCCTTTTAACGTCTCTCTTGCTCTCTCTCTCCTTTTAACGTCTCTCTTGCTCTCTCTCTCTTTTAACGTCTCTCTTGCTCTCTCTCTCCTTTTAACGTCTCTCTTGCTCTCTCTCTCCTTTTAACGTCTCTCTTCTCTCTCTCTCCTTTTAACGTCTCTCTTGCTCTCTCTCTCCTTTTAACGTCTCTCTTGCTCTCTCTCTCCTTTTAACTCTCTCTTGCTCTCTCTCTCCTTTTAACGTCTCTCTTGCTCTCTCTCTCCTTTTAACGTCTCTCTTGCTCTCTCTCTCCTTTTAACGTCTCTCTTGCTCTCTCTCTCCTTTTAACGTCTCTCTTGCTCTCTCTCTCCTTTTAACGTCTCTCTTGCTCTCTCTCTCCTTTTAACGTCTCTCTTGCTCTCTCTCTCCTTTTAACGTCTCTCTTGCTCTCTCTCTCCTTTTAACGTCTCTCTTGCTCTCTCTCTCCTTTTTTAACGTCTCTCTTGCTCTCTCTCTCCTTTTAACGTCTCTCTAGCTCTCTCTCTCCTTTTAACGTCTCTCTTGCTCTCTCTCTCTCCTTTTAACGTCTCTCTTGCTCTCTCTCTCCTTTTAACGTCTCTCTTGCTCTCTCTCTCCTTTTAACGTCTCTCTTGCTCTCTCTCTCCTTTTAACGTCTCTCTCTCTCTCTCTCTCCTTTTAACGTCTCTCTTGCTCTCTCTCTCCTTTTAACGTCTCTCTTGCTCTCTCTCTCCTTTTAACGTCTCTCTTGCTCTCTCTCTCCTTTTAACGTCTCTCTTGCTCTCTCTCTCCTTTTAACGTCTCTCTTGCTCTCTCTCTCCTTTTAACGTCTCTCTTGCTCTCTCTCTCCTTTTTAACGTCTCTCTTGCTCTCTCTCTCCTTTTAACGTCTCTCTTGCTCTCTCTCTCCTTTTAACGTCTCTCTTGCTCTCTCTCTCCTTTTAACGTCTCTCTTCTCTCTCTCTGATTTTTTTAACGTCTCTCTTGCTCTCTCTCTCCTTTTAACGTCTCTCTTGCTCTCTCTCTCCTTTTAACGTCTCTCTTGCTCTCTCTCTCCTTTTAACGTCTCTCTTGCTCTCTCTCTCCTTTTAACGTCTCTCTTGCTCTCTCTCTCTCCTTTTAACGTCTCTCTTGCTCTCTCTCTCCTTTTTAACGTCTCTCTTGCTCTCTCTCTCTTAACGTCTCTCTTGCTCTCTCTCTCCTTTTAACGTCTCTCTTGCTCTCTCTCTCCTTTTTAACGTCTCTCTCTCTCCTTTTAACGTCTCTCTTGCTCTCTCTCTCCTTTTTAACGTCTCTCTTCTCTCTCTCTCCTTTTAACGTCTCTCTTGCTCTCTCTCTCCTTTAACGTCTCTCTTGCTCTCTCTCTCCTTTTAACGTCTCTCTTCTCTCTCTCTCTCCTTTTAACGTCTCTCTTGCTCTCTCTCTCCTTTTAACGTCTCTCTTGCTCTCTCTCTCCTTTTAACGTCTCTCTTGCTCTCTCTCTCCTTTTAACGTCTCTTGCTCTCTCTCTCCTTTTAACGTCTCTCTTGCTCTCTCTCTCTTTTTTTAACGTCTCTCTTGCTCTCTCTCTCCTTTTAACGTCTCTCTTGCTCTCTCTCTCTCCTTTTAACGTCTCTCTTGCTCTCTCTTTCCTTTTAACGTCTCTCTTTCTCTCTCTCTCCTTTTAACGTCTCTCTTGCTCTCTCTCTCCTTTTAACGTCTCTCTTGCTCTCTCTCTCCTTTTAACGTCTCTCTTGTCTCTCTCTCTCTCTCCTTTTAACGTCTCTCTTGCTCTCTCTCTCTCTCTCCTTTTAACGTCTCTCTTGCTCTCTCTCTCTCTCTCCTTTTAACGTCTCTTGCTCTCTCTCTCTCTCGTCTCCTTTGCTCTCTCTCTCTTTTGTCTCTCTTGCTCTCTCTCTCTCTCCTTTTAACGTCTCTCTCTTGCTCTCTCTCTCTCTCTCCTTTTAACGTCTCTCTTGCTCTCTCTCTCTCTCCTTTTTAGCGTCTCTCTTGCTCTCTCTCTCTCTCCTTTTAACGTCTCTCTTGCTCTCTCTCTCTCTCCTTTTAACGTCTCTCTTGCTCTCTCTCTCTCTCCTTTTAACGTCTCTCTTGCTCTCTCTCTCTCTCCTTTTAACGTCTCTCTTGCTCTCTCTCTCTCTCCTTTTAACGTCTCTCTTGCTCTCTCTCTCTCTCCTTTTTAACGTCTCTCTTGCTCTCTCTCTCTCTCTCCTTTTAACGTCTCTCTTGCTCTCTCTCTCTCTCTCCTTTTAACGTCTCTCTTCTCTCTCTCTCTCTCCTTTTAACGTCTCTCTTGCTCTCTCTCTCTCCTTTTAACGTCTCTCTTGCTCTCTCTCTCTCTCTCCTTTTAACGTCTCTCTTGCTCTCTCTCTCTCCTTTTAACGTCTCTCTTGCTCTCTCTCTCTCTCCTTTTAACGTCTCTCTTGCTCTCTCTCTCTCTCTCTCCTTTTAACGTCTCTTTGCTCTCTCTCTCTCTCTCTCCTTTTAACGTCTCTCTTGCTCTCTCTCTCTCTCTCCTTTTAACGTCTCTCTTGCTCTCTCTCTCTCTCTCCTTTTAACGTCTCTCTTGCTCTCTCTCTCTCTCCTTTTTAACGTCTCTCTTGCTCTCTCTCTCTCCTTTTAACGTCTCTCTTGCTCTCTCTCTCTCTCTCTTTTAACGTCTCTCTTGCTCTCTCTCTCTCTCTCTCCTTTTAACGTCTCTCTTGCTCTCTCTCTCTCTCTCCTTTTAACGTCTCTCTTGCTCTCTCTCTCTCTCCTTTTAACGTCTCTCTTGCTCTCTCTCTCTCTCCTTTTAACGTCTCTCTTGCTCTCTCTCTCTCTCCTTTTAACGTCTCTCTTGCTCTCTCTCTCTCTCCTCTTAACGTCTCTCTCTCCTCTTAACGTCTCTCTCTCCTCTTAACGTCTCTCTCTCCTCTTAACGTCTCTCTCTCCTTTTAATGTCTCTCTCTCTCCTTTTAATGTTTCTCTCTCTCCTTTTAATGTCTCTCTCTCTCCTTTTAATGTCTCTCTCTCTCCTTTTAATGTCTCTCTCTCTCCTTTTAACGTCTCTCTTGCTCTCCTTTTAACGTCTCTCTTGCTCTCTCTTTTTCCTTGCTCTCTCTCATATTTTCCTTGCTCTCTCTCTTTTTCCTTGCTCTCTCTCATTTTCCTTGCTCTCTCTCTCTCTTTTTCCTTGCTTTCTCTCTCTCTTTTTCCTTGCTCTCTCTCTCTTCCTTGCTCTCTCTCTCTCTCCTTGCTCTCTCTCTCTCTCCTTTCTCTCTCTCTCTCTCTCCTTGCTCTCTCTCTCTTTCCTTCTCTCTCTCTCTCCTTGCTCTCTCTCTCTCTCTCCTCTCTCTCTCTCTCTCTCTCCTTGCTCTCTCTCTCCTTGCTCTCTCTCTCCTTGCTCTCTCTCTCATTTTCCTTGTCTCTTTTTCTCTCTTCTTTTTCCTTGTCTCTTTTTCTCTCTTCATTTCTTTCTCTCTTTTTTCTCTCTTCATTTTCTTTCTCTCTTTTTCTCTCTTCATTTCTTTCTCTCTTTTTCTCTCTTCATTTCTTTCTCTCTTTTTCTCTCTTCATTTCTTTCTCTCTTTTTCTCTCTTCATTTCTTTCTCTCTTTTTCTCTCTTCATTTCTTTCTCTCTCTTTGATTCCCTCTCCTCTTCTTTCTCCCTCTCTGTGAACTCGGCTCACCCTGTTGTTTCAGTCTTTGTAGATTTTTATAGCCAATATAATAACAGCTGTCTCAGCTTAAGCTCACATTTGTATGATCACTGATTTGATTCCTTCATCTAGAATGCTTCTAGTGAGTTGATCAAAAATACCTCGCTTATACACACATTATTTTTTTTTTTTTTTTACAATGCTTGAATTTCTTTAGGAAAATTCTCTATTCAAATACTCATTTAAAGCTGCAGTGATTCTTTGTAATATTCTGTCCTGGTGTATTGTCTCTCAGTCTGTTTAATTTTGTTGAAACCCATGATGTCTCCCTCTGGTCACAATCTCCCTCACAGTTTCTAGCTGTCTTGAATTTTCACTCAAACCTCTTGCCTTTTCTCAGCTGGCCTGTCATTGAGTTGTCAGTTTTGTCAAGGTTGGTCACATGCATGGCTTATTTTTAGGGATTATTTGCTCCCCACAGATTCACACTTAAAGCATTGTCTTGCTCTCCTGATTTCTTTTCCTTTACTTTCACTTTTTTTTCTCTTGTGTATCTTCTTTTCTCTGTTCACTCCCCTCCTAATCTATCTCTCTTCCTTTTACCTGTCTTGACTCTCCTCTTTCTCTGTTGTTTTTTCTCTTCTATCAGCTCCCACAACCAGATAAACTGTTTTACTTTTTCTATATTCCACCTGTTCTTTCTTTCTCTTCCTCTTCCTCATTGGCCTTTCACCTCCCCATTGCCCACCCACTTTCTCCTTCTTACTGGGCCTGCTGTCTCTTCCCTTTCTTTTCACTTCCTCCCACTTTCTATCCTTTCCATTCCCCCACTGCTTCTTTTTTTTCTGTTTTTCTCTTTTCTTTCTGTCCCCACCACTGGCTCTCTCCTCTCTTCCCCAATCTCTTCCTTTTCTTTCTCTCATGCTTTTTTCATTTCATTTTCAATTTTTCTGTCATATCTTCCAACTGTTACTCTTTTCCTTTTTTCTCTAAACACCACTCTCATTTTGATGTTTCAATTCTTTTTCTATTCTACTTTGGTCTCTTTTTGCAATTTTCATTGAGATTTCAATTATTTCACTTTGTGTATGTGTTTTTATTTCTATCAACTTTCCTGCTTTTAAATTTTGGAACATTTTTCCCAATTGCTGGATTTTACTACTATGTTATGTAGAAATGCGTTAAAACCCATGGGAAACTGGCTTAGAAAGTGCTTGCTTAGAAATTTCATCTGAGTATTCATTGCCAATTGGAATCAGGAATTCCACTTAAAGTGCTGCAAAAACACATTGGGTACATAAAAAAGGGCAGAGCAGATGTATAAGTAGTCTTTAAATGTTGGTTGCCAAATCAAAACTTTCTTTTCTACTTACCTTTTCCTTTCCAATCTTTGCAATAAACCACCTTCATCGATCTTGTCATTTTTATTCTTGTTGCTATTGGTTTGACAAATGACCTTCACACAAATTCTGCATCACTCTTTTTATAAATTGTGTATTGTGAACATACATTCATTGATACGAATGTATTTACAGTATGTGTGTGTGGTGTTCAGCATAGACATTTTACATATAAAAGTTATAATGGAATGTTCTAAGTGTGTCAGTATGTCTCTTTTACACAAATAAACACACATTAGTTCTGTCATCAATATGGTGACAGAACTAATTTCAACTTGGAGCCTCAAAAGGGTAATTTGCAGTTCAAGCCCTGTGCTCAGTTTCTAATAAAAATTTCCCGAATAGTTCCATTTAGGTTTAAATGTATATGCTTAATTTGAATAACAAAAAAATTTTGATAAAATCTACCGTTTTGAAGTTATTGACAATAAAACTTTGGACTAATTTGTGTCGCAGTGGGTGAAGTTGAAATTAATTCTGCACCCTCACTATATGTCAAAAATAACATCTACTGTTTCATAATAATTATATGGAGTATGAGGTATATAAACAGGTAAGCAAACCATGACCACTTCTTTATCTTTAATATATTGAATGCAGCAATTATAAGCAAGAAGAAAGGTTTGAGTGGCTTTGATAAAAATGTATCCTTTTGTCTAGAAGACTGGGTCAGAGTATTTCTAAAATGGCCTAGCTTGTGGGATGCTCATGGTCAGTGGTGGTGAGTAGCTATTGACAGTGGAGCAAATTAATAAGTCACCAGTCACTAACAAGGCATTGGGAAGAAGATAAAACTTATGAATGTAAGAAATGAATAAATGATTTCAAACAAATGTGAGCTAATAGAAGGGTTACTATAAAGTAAATTGCAAATAGCTTTAATCAAGGTGTAAGGAAGGAATGTTGTGACACTGGTCAGAGGTTGATCAAACAAAAAAAGAGAAAGAAAGAAAGAAGGAAGACTAACTAGATGGTAATTGTTGAAATTTGCAGGAAGATGGATTGAAAAGTTGAGAAGAAAATTAAAAACAAAATGCATTGAAAATTCATGTTTTGAAATAATTCCAAGGAGAAATGAAACCAAATTTAACTAGACAGTATTCAGTAAGATTGAGCAAAATCAAGACTACCTGTCCTTCTACACTTCCTGCTGATAAGAAAGAGACCATTATCCAAGAAGATATCAGATAAAACAAAAACGTATGTTATTGATAAAGAGACTGGAGTGGTCACCAAAATAAATAGCATTCTTGATTCTTCTGGATAAAAATGGCCAGGAAAAAACATCTCTTTTAAATTAGCCACCCAGAAGAGAAATATCCACACAGAGATAGACCAATGGGATGTGTTCATCATTATAATTTCTGTGACATTTGTCTAGAGAAAATTTTATATCCAAACATTAATTTGGATTCCTTTGAATAGAAGTGATAAGGAAAAAATAATTGAAAAGTTATTGTGGTCTGTTGATCACCAAAAAAAAAAAAAATGCATAGACAAAGAAAAGATAAACTTTCATTTTAAGGAGAGTGGAAATAATTTTTGTTTCCTTTTTCAATTTTTGCATTGTCTGGTTGATTGAGAGATCACAGCATGGAGCAAGCTAATAAAGAAGGATTAATAACTGAAAATCCCTTTTGTTCTGCTGCACTATCTGAAAGTTATATTTGTCACACCAGCCTAGGAGTGGGCTGAGAATGTGGGAGAAGGAAGAGAGAGATTAGCACTGCCCATACTGAGCTATGGTGCAAGGTGAGGCGAGAAGGGAGTTGGAGTCGCTTGATTCCTTTGCCCACTCTCAAAAGGAGGCTGGAAAGCCACTTGAGTAAATGTATTTTTATATATGGAAATGTAGAAAAGGTCGATGCTTAAGGTAAAAGACAACTGAAATCACTCTTGTCAACCCCACCCCTGCTGGGCAGAGGACTCCATATAAGCTGGAGATTTTGGACAGCTGAAAAACACACACACGCAGAATCCCCAAACTACTGCTACTGAAATCCACATTGTTTACCGAGACCTCTTGACCAAGGCCTTGTGCTGGACCAGAACTGAGAAATTTAAGTTACTACTAAAACAAGTTGCTGACTTTGAAAGGGATCCCAGTGTCATTTGATTATAACAAGTGGGAAGGGTTAAAACTGTTGTATATAACAGATCATATATAAAACAAATCGTTTACATTTTTAACCAGTTAATTCTTTATTGTAAAGGA